AACCAATTTTTTCAAATTTATATTAATGAACCTATTATTAATTTGTAAAGAAAATATATTTGCAACATTATATCGATTTTTGACATTATTCGAATTAAGCTGCACCATGAAAATGGTGGCATCTACTATCTACTTTTCACAAAAGTGGTGTTTCACTAAGTCTTCTTTAACACCAAAACCAATGATAGTTCCTGGTGAAACGAAGCACTTGGAATGTTCTTTACATTTGGTGTAAAGTAACAGACGCCATGTTTGTTATTCGCCAACATTATAATTTATAATTACAGTGACATACAATTGCAGTTATTACAATGACATAAAAATTTTCCGTGTATCTGAACACTAAAAATGGTGGCAGCTACTTCACACAAAAGTGGTGTTTCACTAAGTCTTCTAATATAAAACTTTGTTTCTTGAATTCTTATTCATACAATTTAATTCCGTGACGTTTAAATATTAAATTGCACTTAAAGCTGGAACAAGCATGAGTTATGTTTTATTATGGTTTATTTAAATACAATGATGAATAGATTTAATAATTATTTAGAAAAAATAAATTTTAAAAAATGCGATTTTTTTTACAATGAAATGAAATACTAAATGAATGCAATACCAATGCTTACCAATGTATTACTACATGAAACCTCAGTTAGTTTCAAAACTTTTTCAATTATGTAAACGACGCAAAATAAATAATTATTGCAAAGAATTTAACATTAACTATAAAAAAAAATATTTTCTTGGGGGTAAAAATTCAAAATTATGGGAAAAAATACAAAAAGTTAAAGTTATTAAATATATATGACGCCCAGAGGCTGAGTGGTAGCGTTTTGCGCTCCCATGCACACAGGTCCTGGGTTCGATCCTCTGGCTGGGTAAGGTTGACTCAGCCTTTCATCCCCTCAGTGGGTCGATAAATGAGTACCAAACATGCTCGAGAACTAAACACTGGGGGTTCCGCGTTCGGCTGACCACCTGACCGGAACATCTGCTCCTGCACTCCAGAGCCCACGGTCAAGTAAACTGAGATGGGTATAGTAGGCCTTGGCCCTCTATGGGCTGTCGTGCCACTGAGTTTAGTTTATTAAATATATATACCTTTATAAAGCAATTAATTAAAATACGTATTAAAACATTGCTAAATACATATATAATCGAATAATTCATTTAATTTTTACTAAAATATGGTACCATTTAACATTTTAATTAAATTAACAGGAATATAGAGCAACCATATATACCATATATTTGGATTAAGGAGCCGATATTGTGGTTGAACATTGATTCAATTTTTCTTAGAGAGTTAGATAAATCTTGACATTTTTAATTTTTATTACGGTTGAAAGTTGAACCAATTTTTAGAGTGTAAGAGTATTGCTAACATTCATAATTTTTTGAGGTTCAGTTATAGTTGAACATTGAACTAATTTTTCTTAGAGTGTTGGATTAATGTTAAAATTTATAATTTTTATAGGTTTTTTATGGCTGGAAGTAAAATCAATTTTTCTCGGAGTATAAGATTAATATTAATATTCATAGTTTTCAAGGTTTTCTGAACTATAAATAGAAATAAGTTTTTCTCGCTTTTAAATTTTAATAATAATTATGTATTAAAATATAAAAGGAATAAAATTAAAATTTTTAGATTTTTTTAACTTTATGTTTTAAAGTTTAATAACTTTTTTTTTAAGGGTGGGCACTTGGGGATTGTCCCATTGGCCACAGGAATGCCAGAACTGCTACTCTTTTCTCGTTAACCAGCGGGCACCTGTAGCGAAGCCACGGAGGTGGAGCAGCGCCGCCCACTTCACACAGCCACAAAACCGTTTATAGGGCGGGTCACATGCACACAAAGGAGAAAGGACATAGAACACAGAGAGAGAGAGAGAAAGACACATCCATGCCCTAAGCAGGATTCGAACCCGCGGCCAAAGGCCCCGCAGTCAGACACGCTAAGCCCTCTGCCACCTGGTCGGCAAGTTTAAAACCTAAAGCGGTCAAAAACATTGAACAAGATGTAAAGATTGTAACATATTAAATGCTTATCAGAAGATAGCAAAACACTAACTAAACCGATAATATTACTCTATTCTTTTTGGAACAAATGCATATTCTTTTTCACATCAGAGATTTGAAAGCAATGCTGCTTAAATAATCAAACCAAAACTTATCTTTAAATGCTTTCTTAATTAAAAATCTCCTTCCAAAGAGTTTACTTTTTAATTAAATGTTTGGTTTCATAAAAACTTGAAAGTCAAGAATGCGTAAGAAAGTAAGTATGAAACGTTAAAAATTTATTCTTCCGCTCCTAGAAAGTAAACACTTGAAAATTAAACATGTTATAATATATCATTCCGGAATTTAATATAAATACATATTTTATGGAAATCCGTATAACGCTATAGTATTACTTAATGTTTTAACTTATTTATAGCTTTTTTTCTGAGAATAATTAACTTAACAATAAGAGTGTTAAATAAAGAAGATTTAGTTTTAATCAAAATGGAAAAAAAGTTAGCAAACACATCGGTACTATTTTCAAATTTAGTTATTTTAATACTTAATCCTTTTTAAAAAATATTAATTTTTGTTTGCATTCACATGCAAGTTATTAATATAAATACATAAAGAACTCAACTTTTTAAAAGTTTCATTAAAGTATCCGACTAGTTTCGATTTTTTTTTCAAATATTAATATAAAATTTTAAAAAACTAGCTTAATTGTTTTACTATGCGCAAAAATTTATAAAACTAGCGAAAAACGTTATTATTATTATTATTTCGAATACATGCTAAACACTGTAATAAAATTCCTATCGCCTAAAACCAGAAATCATTTAGGGATATTATTTAGAAAGCTATCAACTATGTTTCATTTTATTTTATTTTCGTGACATACATTTTATTTTGGGTTTACGACTACTAATGTTCAACTCCGTAGCCTTGTAATTTTGAATCAATCCAGAAGACAAGGAAACTCCTGAATCAATAACCCCAGAGGTATTGATTTGTTATGGGAACATGGAGGACTTTGCGACTCGACAGATTTAAAGCGCATCAGTCATCATTTACTACACGGGGAGTCTTCTGTCGGCAGGGATTGAACCCAAGAACTTTTGGGCATGGGTCCAGTGCCCTACCAACCAGGCTATCCCGGCTACCAACTATGTTTTGAGCAAATATAATTTAAAAGCCATATATTACTGAGTTAGGGATCGATATAGTAAAGAAAAGCAAATTTGTAAGCATTTCCGCACTTGTCTTTGCGAAAACACATGCATAAAATATAAAGTTTTAATCTTTTCAGCTCAGTCTGTTGCTTAAAATATGTGTGGTATAATCATAAATACTCATGAAAAATTGTAGACAATTATTTTAAAAGCAACATGAGATATCGGGTTATAGCTAGTGAAAAATGTGAAAAAATTTGATTTTGATATAAACGCATTTAAAATCTTATCTTTAGTCTATCCACTATTATCACCTTGCACAAAAACTGCTATAACTTTGAAAATTATTAGAGTACTAAAATACAAGCAAAAGTAAAGTATTTT